CGCTGGCCCCGCCCCCCCACCAACCGGTCGTTCCACCATTTGGTCTATTTGCATATTATACTTTTATTATATAGGATATCAAAAGTTTATCTTCTTTACTTTTTGTTTTCCTTCGTGGATGAGAGAGTATTGTTTGTTTAACCTCTAAACATGATTTCAGAATAAATAGAGATAAGTCCATGCTGGCAGGTTGAAGTCACACTACCCATTAAAAGTCACACTGATAACAGACCAACCCAATGTCGTTTGAGTTGGGGTCAGCATCTCGAGGACAGGAGTCCTGACGGAGCTATTTAGAAAGGCCCGCTTTGACTGTCAAACATCTTTGAAATGTATCCCAGAGTTGAATGCTTCTCCATTGATGACCATTCTTGATGCCCACAGCTCCCAACCCTCCCACAATTAGAGAAGAGCTCTGCACGGCTTCCTATGACACCATCACTGTTCACTGGACCTCTGATGATGAATTCAGTGTGGTCTCCTATGAGCTCCAGTACACCATATTCACCGGGCAAGCCAACGTTGTCAGTGAGTATCAAACGCCCTACTGATTTCTCTGTCTGGTAACTGTTTTCTGGTAAATTCTATTTCTGAATTTAAACATCAAGGGAAGATAAGGAAAGAAAGAATGCACAATATTTATTGGCTTGTTTTTCCTAACCAAGAAAATGATAGCACTAACTTGTACTATACTAGTAAAAATAACTGGCCAAATAGTGTTGAAAATTTATGATCTCTAGCACACTACATGGATGAATCTTAAGTGGGAAACAAAAGAATATACGCAGCATGATTCTACTTACACATCCATAACTTAAAAATAAACTGTTTTGTTTAGAGATGCATGCATACGTGTAAAAACTATAAATAAATGTCAGGATGATGGCTACCTTTGGGATGGGAGGGGAGTGGCACCATTGGGAAGAAATACATGGGGGATCATGGGGTTAACAGCACTGTCTGGCTATATTCTGGTTATTTCATGGGTATATCATACATTTACTTTGATGTACTTTTCTGAGTGTTATTTCACAATTTTTAAAAAAGGATTTACTAAAATGAACAGCTAAAGAACAGCTACCTGGGCCCATTCGGAGACCAGGGCCATCATTTGAAATGTCGATAACTGCCCCCCCCCACCTGGGAAGAATTTCAGACCTTACGTGAAACACAGAGAGGCTCCTCTGTCACTGGGGCCCGTGAGCTATTTGATATCAGGGATAGTTCACTGATCTCATGGAGCAGTAGCTGGCCAGAAAGGTGATCATAGAAACACTCCTCCCCACCCTCAGAGTTATTTAAATTGACTTGAGTAAATGGCAAAGGACCAGAAGAATGGACTTTTCAGGGGAGCAAGTTTGAAACTTCTTTAGCAAATAAAAATAGAAATATGTCAAAGAATAAAATAGAAGTAACTTTTCAACCAAGAAATGTTTTGAATAAATCCACATCAGCTTAATGTGCTCTTATTGTATAAACCTATTCTCTCTTTACACTGTTCTATCCTAGCACAAGTAAATCTGAGGCATGTGATGCTTAAAATAGAAATTTGATTTAGGATTAGTTAAAAGGGAGAGGCTGAAAGACCCCGCTTCTAAAGGACTAAAGTAGAAATGACCCATACCAACAAATGGTTCCCGCTGTCTTCCTCACATCCCCCTTTTCCAGCTTCCCCTCCTCAACCCTCTGCCTTCCGCTCCCTAATTGGCCTGCCTTGGAAGCTTTTATGAAAATGTTACCAGAGATTGTATCAAACATTCATTTAAAAAAGATGAAATTCGAAAGATGGTCAGAAATTCCAAGACAATCAGAAAAGGACAGCATGAAGGTGTGAGAAGAGCAGATAGAAAATGGAGGGGCCCTAGTTGGTTTTGCTCAGTGGATAGAGTGTCGGCCTGTGGACTGAAGGGTCCCGGGTTTGATTCCGATCAAGAGCACCTACCTCAGTTGCAGGCTCCTGGCCCTGGTCCAGGGCATGCGGAAGGCAACCAATTGATGTGTCTCTCTCACATCGGTGTTTCTCTCTGTCTCTCCCCCTCCCTTCCACTCTCTCTAAAAATCAATGGAAAAATATCCTCAGGTGAGGATTAAAAAAAGAAGAAGGAAGGAAGGAAATGGAGGGATGATTTGTTGGCAAAAGTGAACTGGGATCAATAAGCATTGTGTCCAAAAACAGAGTAGGTTCTGTGAAAGCAAACAGAGGATTGATAGATGCACCATTTGTTGACGAGCGAATAATGTAACCAGAAAAAGAAACATTTGGAGTCATGTTATACCTAAAGGATGCTTCTTAGCCCACGAAGTAATGTTACAGTTCTCTGAATTTGTTTTTGCCTGATCCAGGAAAAATTACATCAGTTTTCTATTGCTGTGTAAGAAATTTTCCAAAACTTAGCAGCTTAAAATAACACCCATTTATTATTTCAGTTTCCATGGGTCAGGATTCTGGGCACAGTTTAACTGGCTCCATAAAGCTGAAAGCAAGCTATTGGCTGGGCCGCATTGTCATCTGGAGGTCCAATTAAAGAAGAATTCACTTCCTAGCTCCCTCAGGTTGCGGTCAGAATTGATTTCATTATTGTTGTGGAATTCATGGAAGTTTGCTTCTTCAAAGCCGAGAGCGAGAGCGAGAGCTTTGCTACTTCAACTCTCTCACCTCTAAGCCCTTCTTTAAAGAGCTTGATCGATTAGCTTAGCCCTGCCCTGAATATTCTCGGTTTGATTAACTCGGAGTCAACGGATTACATCTGCAAACTCCTTTCACCTTTGCCATATAATGTAATATTACTGGAATGATAGATAAGACATTTGTCCTTTGCCATATCTGTTGATTAGAAGCAGATCATAGGCCATGCCTACCCTCAAGGAGAGAGGATTATACAAAGTCATGAATAATATGGAGTGGGAGTTACGGAGGCCACACACAAGGGCATGTCCATTATATCTCTCCTGCAATTTCTTGGATCAAATGACCATGGGCATTTAGACAGTACATATAGTCTTGGCCTGGACTGATGGGCCTTGTATCGGTTGGTTTTTGCTGAATAGCCCAAACCACAGAACCTAAGTAGAGTAGAACAATTCATGTTTATTGCTTGTGCAGCTGGAATCAGCTGGGGGCAGCTAAGAGGTCCTGCTATTCTTGGTTAGGCTCCCTCGAATGTCAGGCTGATGATGGGAGCAACTCAACTGCTACACAGCTCTCTGCTGCCACTGAGCTCAAACATGTTCTCCTGGTGATTGCAGAGGTGAAGGTGTAAGGGCAGGCCTGATTGCACACGTGTCTTTCAAGCCCCTGTCTGTGACATGCCATTGTCCAAGCAAGTCCCATGGTTGAGCCCAAACGAAAGGAATATATCTATAGCTCAGTGGTTCTCAACTTTCTGGCCCTTTAAATACAGTTCCTCATGTTGTGACCCAACCATAAAATTATTTTCGTTGCTACTTCATAACTGTCATGTTGCTACTGTTATGAATCATAATGTAAATATCTGATCTGCAGGATGGTCTTAGGCGACCCCTGTGGAAGGGTCGTTCGACCGCCAAAGGGGTCGAGACCCACAGGTTGAGAACCTCTGCTATAGCTTGAAACTAGGAGTTTCTTAGGTGGCTAAATGTGACTAACTTGACCTCCATGCTGTTGACGTGGAAACTAATACCAAACAAGACTTATAAATGGAATAGATGAGAAAGGGCTGTGCGTACAGAAATCCAACAACAGCAACACTACTGAGCACCATGAACTCAGAGCTTTATGCTGGGTGATTCTAGATAAGGTGTTTTATCCCTGGAAACCAGTTACCACAAGGAAATAACTGCAAATGGCTTAATGAAGATGAGGGACCTGCCTTATCTAACCACAGTGCCAGAAAGGCCCATTCTCCCAGGACAGGTGGGAAACAGTGACAGTGCAGGTGCGCATCTAACTGGAGTGCTCTCATCAGCTTGTTGGTATCGGGACTTGTTCATCTCTTTAATGCGCATTAAACCAATGTAGTGATGTCCTGATCACAACGGAATCAAACTGCAAAAAAAAGAATTTAAGTAAAAGGATAACTGAGAATCGAGCATTTTCAGATTACTTTCTGCTTTATTAATACTATACATATTTGTAGTGACTGCGGGAGACCCGGATGTGAATTCCATCTTTGGACCTCACTAGCTCTGTAATTTGGGGCAAATGATTTAACATCCTCTGAATGTTTTCTCATCTGTAAGAAGAGGTAATGTTTAACCTCACATGGTTGAGATAACAAAAGGAAAGGCCTTAGCTCTATATTTGCCACAATGGTATCAGGTAGATATTCAAAGTTATTATTCCTACAAAAATAAGACTATATTCATTCATTATTGCATTTTTAAAGGCTGATATTTCTGTGGTATGATAAAGGTCAATAATGTAATTTGCCAGGATTACCTGTATGATAGCATTTTACATGATCTTCATGTGAAAGGCCTTCCTTGAATGTCATTTGACCATCTGCCCTATCATTTGGAGGAATATCCTTTGCAGATCTTATATTGAATGGCAAGATGTAATGTGGAACATCTGCTCCTTATGCCACTAGGAAATTTTATACTGTCTCTAGTTCATGAATCCTTCACTTGTCAGAATAAATTCTAGTTAATTCCCACAACTGACTTTAATGAAGGATAATTATATGATATCTATGGGGCTTTTTAATCTTATAAAAAGATCCCCACTAATCAAATTCATACATTCAAATGCAAACTTAATGACATTACTAATTTTTTACTTTTCATTTTTATTAACAGACTCATGATTACAAGTGTTAATGAATTTATTAACACATAGATAAGTATTTATTTTTACAACGTTGTCCATGATGTTTATGTAAAACTACTTTGAATGCGTCATTTAAAATCTGAAATTAGTGCCTTTTACCAGCAGCCTATTTTTTATTAGCAAAAGTCAAGAGATTCGTTTCTTCAATATTTCATGGCAAGTAAGTTATCTGTCTTTAATTTACTTTAGTCATTTTGAAAACAGTCATGAAAGTTATTAAACATGTACTATTTTTATAGAGAAAGAGGAAAAGAATGTTCACTTCTGTCCAATATGTTAGACAAAGGATGTTAGAAGCTAGTGTGTGGCCTCTCTGAAGGGCGTCCATATTGCATAATGTTTTATATATAATGTTTTATGGCAAGATGACAGTGTTATACAAGGCTATGAAATCCCCAGTGTCAGTATGATCTTGTAATGAGCAGCATTATGGACATGTTTCTGACTCATTGTGAATGAGAAAACAATGTACCAAGTTGAAAAACTCAATTACATTTCATGATGGTTTAATTATCTTCCAAGTCCCATTGTTGTAATACTTCAAGTGGAATTGGAAACGGTGAATATTGGGATACCCTGAAAGATGATTGAAAGTGAATTTGGAGAAAAGTGAAGTTTCGGTCAGGATGGTTAGTGGGTGTTTCATAAAGCGATGAATAAAACCTGGTCAATAGACCTGACACAGTGGGGTATCGAGGCAGAGAAGTCTGGCGCTTGGCACCATGTGCAGGAAGTTAAGCGGTGCTGGCGCAAGACCAACGCCAAGCAACGCAATAATGGTGCACTCCAAGACATCCCACTCATTCCGTCCCCCAACTGAAAGTGGTCATTGTTGCTTTCTTGGTATTTTTAATCAACTTCTCGATTATTACCTTGGCAATCGTGATCATAGAAAAGTAAACCTAAACAGTAATAGTTGTTAGCATTCATGAAACTACATTGTCCCAGTGTAAAGCTACCCAATGAAACGTTACTACTTCATAAACATGTTGTTCTTTTCATATTCAAGGGGAAAAAATGAGTGACCTCTTCAAAGTACTGAGGAGAGTCAGGGCCCCTTTTTTGGTTTGGAAAAGGTTTGTGCAACATTACATCTTTTTTGTTGGGTTAAGACTTTGGCTTGGAGGCCAAGTTGCAGTTTGCAGCATTTCCAGACATCTGCTTTATGATGTTGCTGAAAGCAGTCCCCTACCACATTAAACCCAGCTTTGGGCTGTACAGTGATGTAAAGTTTATTGAAACATTTTTACATTTGCTTTCTTGGACCACAATAGTCATTTCGCTGTAACATATGCAATTAAACAGAAACAGTGTAAATGCAGTGACATTGATAGGATTCTCCTTGATTGCACTGAATGCTGTTATTGTTTTCATTTGGGCCTGAGTGCTGTTGACAAAGGTTTAGGAATAGGAGTGGATGGATAATCCTAGGCAATAGAAAAGCTCGGTGCTTTATCTTGTTGCTACTGGAATATTATTATTAAATATCTAAAGTGAGTTACAGGCTTCTTGGGGCCCAGAGCTCATAGTTCAAAATGGCCCTTCTTTGCTTGGATCAAAAATCTACTACAGTGGGGCCTTGACTTACGAGTTTAATTCGTTCCGTGACGGAGCTCATAACTCAAATTACTCGTATGTCAAATCAACAGTGAACGCGTGAGACACGTGATGCTGGGCTGATGTTGTGGCGTTCACTGTGACATTCGCTGCACCAACTAGCGGTGGGGTATCTGAAGCTGGCTCATAACCCGAATTTTAGCTCGCAACTCAAAGCAAAAAATCGGCCGAGAGACGGCTCGTATCTTGAAAAACTCGTTAGTCGGGACACTCATAAGTCAAGGCCCCACTGTATTTGGCTGTGGCACTATCCAGAACTATTGAGTTTATTACAGCTATGTTGGAGGAAAAGGTGAGAAATTAGCAAAAGTGATATGTGGTAAGGAAAGTCTCATGTTACTAAACTATTTGTGGACATTTTCCTGGGTCTTACACAAGTGAAACTTTGTGGGAAAACAGAGCTAAGAGTTGGGGAATTGGGGGTAGGGGTAAGGGGTGGTGGATGGTGCCTTAGCTGCCCTGCTGTATCTCCAAACATGAACACACACACACACACACACACACACACACACACACACCCTCTTCTCTGAGCCGCACATTCTTTCCTTGCTTCATACTGGCTTTGTCAAATCTGGCAGACCTCCTGGTGAACATGTTCCCGGTGGAAAAGTAAAGAGGTGATAGAAAATTCACAAAGTCAATTACAAAGTGTGTCTGAAAATATGGTACACCCAAGATACCGATCCCCTGAGGGGAATTTTCACAATTCGCAAAATACTTTTATGTTCTTCTCAACTGTGAGACTACCAGAGCAATGTTTAACTCAAAAGCTGGAGAACGTATTGAATAGGACTTAAAGACAGACTTCACGGGGTGTGAATACCTTGAAATGCAATGTAAATATTTGAGGGCTGGTATGGATATGCTTGGGTGAATTTCTACCGAAACGTTGTATTAGATACTCAAAGAGGTGAGACCAAAGAAAGATTAAGGGACTGCTGCTTGAGAGTGTGGTAAGGTATCAGTTGCCTCAAGATCAAAAGAACTAACCCTTTGACTTGCAAACCCACTGAAAGGAAAGGCTGGAGAGGTGAGTCCAGAGCCCCTCAGGAACCAGAATCAGGAAACTTCCTGACAGCCCCGTCACCAGGGAGCTGGGAAAAGGTTCTGTGAGAGGAGATTGATGGGTAGACAGGGGAAATAGGAGAGGAGAGTTGGACCCAATACGAGAGAGATGTTTTCGGCATCAGCCAGCTGCCAAACAAAATGGGCTTCCTTTTTCCTGCGTGTTCTTCCAAGCATCGTAAATTCTCAGCCTCCTCCCCAACCCACATCCTGCAGAATGCAGCCAGCGCCACAGCCCCTCTCTCCTCGGAAACCAAGCATTCTAGGGATGCAGCTGGTCAGAATCCCTGTGGATGCTTTTCTTTCTTTTTTAAATATATTTTATTGATTCTTTACAGAGAGGAAGGGAGAGGGATAGAGAGTTAGAAACATCGATGAGAGAGAAACATTGATTCAGCTGCCTCCTGCACACCTTCCACTGGGGATATGCCCGCAACCAAGGTACATGCCTTTGACTGGAATCGAACCTGGAACCTTTCAGTCCGCAGGCCGACGCTCTATCCACTGAGCCAAACCGGTTAGGGCTGTGGATGCTTTTCTAAGTCCCACACTGGGCCCTGAGCTGCCCATCGGTGCCGCTGTTGCAGGGTGCTCATAGGAACATGTCTTGTGGAATCGGTTAACTATGGCCACACTAATGCTACATCACACACAACCCCGGGGATCACTGTCTTAGCTGCCCTGTCAGAAGTGAGCGTGGATTGGCCAGTCTCTGCCGGCTTCCCTCCTGCATTGGCTGGGCAATAGAGCTGTTCCTCGTGCCTCATCCTGTCTGGATGCGCAGACTCTGGGGAATGTTCTCCCCATGGCAATGGCAGTGGCACAAGAGGGCAACAGAAGCTCTCAAGGCCTTGTAATGCCTGCTCTTAAAACTGGCACCTTGACATTTCAGCCTCATCCTATTGGTTAAAGCAAGTCACGTGGCCACCCAAAGTCATGTGATAAGGAAATATATCCTGTCTCTTTAGACTCAAGCGACTCAAATGACCCTTTCACAGGGGTCGCTTAAGACCATGGGAAAACACATATATAATTACATATTGTTTTTGTGATTAATCACTATGCTTTCATTATGTTCAATTTGTAACAATGAAAATCCATCCTGCATGTCAGATATTTACATGACCATTCATAACAGTAGCAAAATTACAGTTATGAAGTAGCAACGAAAATAACTTTATGGTTGGGGGTCACCACAACATGAGGAACTGTATTAAAGGGTCGCGGCATTAGGAAAGTTGAGAACCACTGCTTTAGAGCAAGCATGACAAACTCAAAGGCTAACATGGGCCAAATAAACAAGGTTTAAGTTTATGTGGGCCACAAAAAAACAAAAGCTTCAATTTTCATAGAAATGTAGGTTTATTTCGATAGAGACATACTGAATACAAAGGGCTGAAATTCATGAGTAATTGTTAACATAAAATAATAGAACATTTTAAATAATTTTTAATAAAAATTAATTTTTTCTTGAACCTTAACTTACCAGACATTGAATAACTACACAAATGAATAAGCATAACAGAAATAAACCTAGTTTTCTTGTTCTCCAAAAGCAAAATATTTCCTGTTGTGTCCACCAAATAAGTCAGTCCAAGACTAATGACATGGCCATCAGCTGCTAAAATATTTGCTGCTAGTATTAGTGGAGAAAAATGGTGCACCTGTGCGTAAGGCGCATAAGGGAAATGAATGCAACACGATGATAGTAATCAGTCATTAGTGAACATTGTAGTTCATTATTAATAACTAGAGGCCCAGTGCACAAGATTTGGGCAGGGGGGGGGGGGTGGTCCCTCAGACCGGCCTGTGCCCTCTCACAGTCCGGGACCCCTCAGGGGATGTCCACCTGCCAGCTTAGGCCCGATCCCCCCGGGACCGGGCCTAAGCCAGCAGACAGACATCCCTCTCGCAGTCTGGGGCTCTCACAGTCCGGGACCCCTTGCTCCTTACCGTCCGTCTGCAGCGGAGGCAGGAGAGGCTCCCGCCACGGCCGCGGCACTCCCCCACCCCTTCCGTGCAAGCACACTGACCACTGGGGTGGGGGGCAGCTCCTCCGTTGTCTGCCCCCTGGTGGTCAGTGCACGTCATAGCGACCAGTCGTTCTGCCGTTCAGTTGATTTGCATGTTATGCTTTCATTATATAGGATTATGTATAACAGGCTATTGTAAAAATTAAATTATGACATTTTTATTAAAACATTTCTTGCATACCGTTATATTGGCTGGGTCACAAAAATAGTCATTGTGGGCCGCCAGTTTGACATGCGTGCTTTAGAGGAACCAACTGCCAAGTCACTTAGGCCTGGATCCCGGGCGGGGTGATGAATTAGATAAAAATGCAATCTACTACACCTACAGAAATAAAGTCAACTTCCCATAGAGCAATGGGGTCTCTTCTCACCTTCTGTGAGTCTCAGAATTGATGAGATGTAAATATTTAATGCTGATCATAATAAGAATGGGGGTGACGGTGGAAGGAGGAATCAGTGGCGACCCACAGCACATATTCCGTGCTTAAGGTCCCAGACAGAACCATCTTTGCTGCTCCTATTTATACTGAACAGAATTTGCAATAGAATAGCTTTAAGTGGTTTAGAGCACACAAAAAGAATATATAATAATAAATATAGGTTGACCTACTAGAGGCAAGACACTGAGCACTCAAGTATATTGTTATCTCCCTACGAAGTGACAAAGCACGCCATTTAAGGGTCAAGTAACCTAAAATTATGCAAACGTTGCCCTGTGCTTGCACCAAAGAACTGCATCTGGTTGACTTTGCAGGTCTGTGTAACTCAGCCGATAGCTGGATGATCGTGCCCAACATCAAGCAGAACCACTATACTGTGCATGGTCTGCAGAGCGGCACCAAGTACATCTTCATCGTCAAGGCCATCAACCAGGCGGGCAGCCGCAGCAGCGAACCCGGGAAGTTGAAGACAAACAGTAAGTGCAGTGAGCTCAGCAGAGCTGTCGTCTCTCCCTTCTCTGCCCCCCTTTCTTTTCCTGTCTCAGGCATCGCTCACAGCCTCAGGAGCAAGTAGAGAGCCTGAGGAGACTAGTGCATTTTGCATCAGATACCTCTGGGTTCTAAAACTGACTCATACTCTTAAGGGCTGTGAGGCCATTAACTTCTCTGTGCTTCAGACTTTCCATTTTTAAAATAAATAATCCTGGAGGGCTTCTTGTGAGAATTGGGGCATCTATGTAGATATATATATAAAGTCTGACACACAGTTAGGGCTCTGACACAGTAAATGGCAGATGATAATGTTTTCTCTAACACAGCGGTCGCCAAACTGCGGCCCCTTGAGTGTGGCTCTTCCACAAAATACCACGTGCGGGCGCGCACGTACAGTGCGATTGAAACTTCGTGGCCACACTCAAGGGGCCAAAGAGCCGCACGTGGCTCGCGAGCCGCAGTTTGCTGACCACTGCTCTAACAGATTAGCAAATGAATACCTCTGTCTTCAGGAATCCTTTATTTACTTCAGATACCTGCCTAGGTCTGTGGCTCTCAGTCAAGAATGATTCTGCTTCCCTCCCCAGGTGGGACATTTAGGAATGTCTGGAGACATTTTGGGTTGTCACAACTGAGGTGGATGCTACCTACCGGCATCAAGTAGTTGGAGGCCAGGGATAATGGGAAACATCCCACAATGCACAGGACGGCCCCGCAACAAAGAATGATCTGGTTTATACACTTGTCTCATAAGCATGTCGTCTCTCTCTCTGTGTCTCTCCTCAATGTGTTTTGTTTTATCCTCTTTTTTCTGTACATCTTTTTGATCTAGAAATGTTATGTTATATGACATGGTATTTCTTTACGTAAGACCTCCCAAGAGAAAGCATGTTGGAGCCTGTCAGGGTGGTGCCATGTTAGAGGGTTGCCAGCAGCCAGTGAACAGGAGCAATGACTGTTTTTCAGGGGGACCCTCATTGAACCCATATCCTGGCCTTCAGTAGTCAAATGACGTTATTTGACTCCTGATATTTGTGTTTAGGACATGCTCTGAACCATGAAGCTAATTTCTCCTCTCCTTTTGCTGACAAAATGTTTTTAGAGATTAAGTAGGAAAAATATGAATAAATACATACACTGAGGTTAATTCTGTGGAATATACCTTTGCGACATGTCATGACTGTGTTTTTAGTAAATAAACCAGGGGTGGGCAAACTTTTTGACTCGAGGGCCACAATGGGTTCTTAAACTGGACCGGAGGGCCGGAACAAAAGCATGGATGGAGTGTTTGTGTGAACTAATATAAATTCAAAGTAAACATCATTACATAAAAGGGTACGGTCTTTTTTTTTTTTTTAGTTTTATTCATTTCAAACGGGCCGGATCCGGCCCGCGGGCCGTAGTTTGCCCACGGCTGAAATAAACAGTCCTTTTCCTCTTCTTGTTTTGTCAATCGTTTCTAGGCCAACCATTCAAACTGGACCCCAAATCTGCACATCGCAAGCTGAAGGTGTCTCATGATAACCTGACAGTGGAACGTGATGAGTCATCATCCAAGAAGAGTCACACCCCCGAGCGCTTCACCAGCCAAGGGAGCTACGGCGTCGCGGGGAACGTGTTCATTGACAGTGGCCGGCACTACTGGGAAGTGGTCATAAGTGGAAGCACATGGTAGGCAATTCTATCCATTGTCTCCAATTATAAAAAGGCACATTTCACTCTATCCTTTGTCAGAGCATCCACCCATACCAGGGTCCATCTTGAAGAATTATATGCAGAAAACCTTGATCAGCCAGCTGTTGCTACAGTCATGCTACCTAACAAATATGCCAAAACTCAGTGGCTTCAAACAACAATCATTTATTTTTTCTAAAATATATTTTATTGATTTTTTACAGAGAGGAAGGGGGAGGGATAGAGAGTTAGAAACATGGATCAGAGAGAAACATCAATCAGCTGCCTCCTGGACACCCCCTACTGGGGATGTGCCCGCAACCAAAGTACATGCCCTTGACCGGAATCGAACCTGGGACCCTTCAGTCCGCAGGCCGACGCTCTGTCCACTGGGCCAAACCGGTCAGGGCCACAATCATTTATTATTGCTCCTTAACACCCACATCTGTGGGTCAGCTGAGCAAGGCTAACCTCAGCGGGGCTTGGCTTTAAGCTGTAGATTGGATTTAGGTCTGTTCTATGTGTCTCTTCATCCTGTTTGGACGTGTGGGCTACGCAGGTCATGGTCTTCTCCAGGAGCCCAAGAATACAAGCCTGACGATGTGAGCACACGTCAAGCCTTTGCTTGCATCGTGTTCACTAACTTCTCATTGGCTAGTCACACGGCCAAGCCCAAAGCCAATGGTGCAGGAAGTATATTCCTCCCATGGAGGAGAGAAGAGGGAGTGAATATTTCCCAAGCAATCATCTAATCTACTCAGCCAATAAGAAAAATAACGTGTTGTAAGTCTATCCATTTTTTATTTATGGCAAGAATGGCAGCTAAGATGATAGAGTCCTCATCCCCGGGGAGAGCTAGTATGCTAACACGGTTCTTTCATGCCTGAAAACATGGGTCAGCAGACTACAGCTGTTTTTGTGAATAAAGGTTTAGTCACGCCCATGCTGTTCCATTTTGTCTGTAGCTGCCTTTGAGCCACACAGCATTGAGCAGTTATGACAGAATCCTATGAATCCTATGGTCCACAAAGCTGAAAAATTAACTCTCTGACCCTTTATGGAAAAAGTACCTACTGTGAAACATTACTCTTCATTCTTTAAAAAAAACTAATTTCTATTGTTTTGTACATGGTGTGCTTTTAGACGGGGCTAGTTGGTGCAAATGGCGGAGAGCTAAAGGCTGTGGGGAAGTGGTGATCTTAGGCTGGGAATCTCTTCACAAGGCCTGGTAGATCCAGCCTCGGAACTTCAGCCTAAAACCGCGGTCGGCAAACTGCGGCTCGCGAGCCACATGCGGCTCTTTGGCCCCTTGAGTGTGGCTCTTCCTAAGCCTTAGGAGCACCCTAATTAAGTGAATAACAATGTACCTACCTATATAGTTTAAGTTTAAAAAATTTGGCTCTCCAAAGAAATTTCAATCGTTGTACTGTTGGTATTTGGCTCTGTTGACTAATGTGTTTGCCGACCAGTGGCCTGAAAGGTCAGGGTGCAGTCTACGTTGGAATTAGTTTACCTTGCCAAGTGAACCTCACAGAGCTGCCTTTGCCTATTCCAGAGCCACAAACTTCACGCCTTACTCTGGCCGGCTGGCTCACGAATACCTGTTTGCTATTGCACAAAAAGGGAGCTATTTTATTTGTATTTAACCAGCCCTCATCTAGCACAGCTGTGTGCCAGGCACTAGCCTTGGATTTTACAAATGTTGACTCATTTATATTAACAACCCTACAAAGGTCGGTGCTAGTGCCCCATTTTACAGAGGGGGTGACTGAAGCACATGCCCAAGGTCACAAAGCGCATAGGTGGCAGAGTTAGGAAGTCTGCAATCAGAGTGCAAGCTCCTAACCGCAGGTCTGCAAGCATTGCCTGTAAAGGGCCGGAGAGCCAATATTTCTGGGTTTGCAGACCAGGTGATTTTTGTCGCAATTGCTCAACTCTCCTTGTAGTGAAGCAGCCATAGACCATATGTCCACAAATGGGTGTGGCTGTGCACCAATAAAACTTCACTTATAAAAAGAAGCAGATGGCCAGATTTGGCCTGTGAGTTGTAGTTTGCTGATCCCTGCTCTTACCCAACCTGCTATATTTTCAAAACATTATAATTACTCTTTAGGGCAGCGGTTCTCAACCTGTGGGTCGCGACCCCTTTGGCGGTCAAATGACCCTTTCACAGGGGTCGCCTAAGACCAGCCTGCATATCAGATATTTACATGATGATTCATCACAGTAGCAACACTACAGTTATGAAGTAGCAACGAAAATAATTTTCTGGTTGGGTCACAACATGAGGAACTGTATTTAAAGGGCCAGAAGGTTGAGAACCACTGCTTTAGGGCTTACAGTGGTGTGCTTAATGAGTAGTAGCTTAATCCTGGCTTTAGAAAAGGCTTAAAAGTGCATAACCTGATGATGATGAGTATTAATAACAGTGCAATTTTGAGATAAAGATGCTAAAACATTTATTATAAAAAAGCTTTCAATTCAAATTTATGCAAATCATACATTGTGCCTAAGTGCCTTATAGTATTAGCACAAGTCAGCTGACAACTAAGTGAAATCACAAGCTTGAGTGTCTCCTTTCTCCCACCGATGGTCCCTATATTGGCTAACCAAGGAGACTTTCTTCTGTTGTGAGCATCACAATTCTCTTTGCCCAGACCTTTTCCTGTTCCAACGTCCTGCTGGAGGATGGAAAACGAATCCTTCCGCCCCACTCGGCTCTGGTCCAGGCTGGCATGTACAGTTTTTAGCTACACTGGGGCAAGATAAAAGCCCAAAGGGCAATACAATGAATTTTTGCAGGTACAAAAGAGCAAACTTTACTAATTCATTAACGTGCTATATTAATCTGGGATGGAAACCAGTGTCTAAATAATTACAAGCCCATTAATAATTATTTATGACAAATTATACCTGATCATTATGATCTCATTCGCATTGATGAATGGTGCGGGAAATTCCACCAGACCACTTCAGTTATATAAACATAGATCAGCATTACCTTGAAAACACCCTCCAGATGTCAAAACCAACGCATGAGGGGGAGGAAATTTAAAATTAATTGCCACCCTTTGGATTTTTGCAAACGTGATTATGTCAATTTCAGAAAAATTCTTGTGTAGAACATGGTTGAACATTTCCTGGGAGGTTTTAGTGAGCAAGGGGTGACCCTTACAATCAAATTCCTGTGACACCTTGATTTGCAACAGCTAATGACATTTTCTCATGAAATAGAGTCTTGACTTTAACATGCATGTTGTGATCCATGCAATGGGGCATGTTAACATTGCTCTGAGAAACATAATTTTTATCCATTTTTAATTCTCCGAGTCTCACTGTGTAACTTAATGGAACATTACCTTCTGCCTGCTCCTTTCAAGTTCAGTAGAAATATGTGCATCGGTTTTCAGATTAATGATAATATAATGGTATTTTCCTTTGCTTAATGGACTGTACACATAGTTATTTTCTTACTCTCTGATGCTGTTCATGTGCACTTGGTTTTGATGAAATGGTGTTAAGTAAACAGGGGTTCACAGAAGTCAAGGGGAGAAGGGCGAGATCCTGAATTCTGCTGCTAATTTTAACCTTCTCTGCGTTTCCCATTTGCTGAATGAAGTCAGTCATACCTGCAGCAGCTACTTCATAGGGGGTTCAGTTAAGGTTCAAGTTGGAAATAAAAGTCCAAGTTCTTTAATAAAAAATAAAAATGGTGTGCAGCAACCAGGAAACAGTACAGACATATGGCTATTTTGTGATGCAAATATAGGTTCCAAATTATCTGAAAAAAAATGGCAAGGGTGTCTACCAGCGCATAGAGGCCCTCTATGAGGAAAATACACACAACTGCAAAACAAAAATATTTTCCAAGTGTTTCAGTTAGGGTTCAACAGGAAAACAGAATTCACCTTGGGTTCTCCAAGGAGGAAGGGAACCTGGAGCCCAGCAAGGGCTGGAAGCACAAGTCAGGGAGCCTGCTGTGCCTGTCTATGAAGTCTTGACACACTAGGGGTGCTAGAAGGCTCCCCACAGCCCAGATGCAAGTATGCCCAGGAGCTCACCCAGAAGCTTCTGGAAACCTTGCCTCTGCTGTCTGGAAGAGTGTTTCCCCTCCTCTTAGGACTTCTGGATCTTGTGCCAGGGAGTTGCCATGGCAGACCCTGATCCAGACTCCTACTGGAAAGAAGATTCTGGAAAATGTAGCCCCAGGATTCTTCCTATGATGTAGGGCAGGATATATGAAAGGGAAGAGGAGGCTGAAGTGATGGCAAACAGGTTGGCACACTGAGATTAATGGATTGCCAATTCCATTTCTTTTAAATCAATGATGGTGTGTTATATTCAGTTTTAAACGTACTACTCTTAAAGTGATTGTATTTTAAACCCAACATGTGATTTTTAAAAGAATGTCATTTTATCAAAGACCAATGAAGTTTTTCTCTGCATTGGGTATGGTACCTTATGTCAATCTAGTTAGACTAGTTTCTGCTATAACATATTAAAAGTTGAACTGAATCATTCACTCTTTTTTAAAATGTTTTTGACTTTTTTTAGAGAGTGGGAGGGAGAGGGAGAGAGAAAGAAACATTGATTAGTTGCTTCCTGCACACACCCGAACCAAGGATCAAACCTGCAACCTGGGCATGTACCTTGACCAGGAATCGATCCAGCAACCTTTTGGTGCATGGGACAAAGTTCCAACCAACTGAGCCACACTGGCCAGGGCTGACTCATTCACTCTTTATTAGAAGGATGGGTTTCACCTGTCTTCATAACTGAAATACTACAAATATTACGGAGCCTTACCTTCATGGGGTAAAAGATGAAGAAGCTTAGAAGATTGTAGAAAGAATTATTAACATAGTTTTGAGCAGTGAGAGGACATTTAGAATAACCAGGATACCATCTGCTCAGACATTCACAATTTTAAGTGTAGTAGGAAATATAAGCAGAAGGGCTCTTGGCAGTGATGAATTCCACAATTTCTGGTGAAGGAAAGCATTAGAAAATGTTGTTTAAGTTTGTGGTCTTTTGAGTCATCCTAGGTTTAAATTCTGAATCTGTTATTTATTAATGTGTCATTAGGCAAAAATAATAAAGTAACAGTTACTGAATGTTCCAGGCCAGGCTTCGCGTCCAGGATTTTACATGTATTCTTTTTAAAAAAAATATATTTTATTGATTTTTTACAGAGAGGAAAGGAGAGGGATAGAGAGTTAGAAACATCGATCAGCTGCCTCCTGCATAGCCCCCACTGGGGATGTGCCCGCAACCAAGGTACATGCCCTTGACTGGAGTCGAACCTGGGACCCTTGAGTCCACAGGCCGGTGCTCTATCCACTGAGCCAAACCAGTCAGGACTGCATTCTTGCCTTTATTCCTCAAAATAACCCCCTGTTTTATAGATGAGAAAAGTGAGGCTGAATGGTCACAAGGAACTGATCCCCGTAAGTGGAAACCATGCTCCCTGCTTGCCTTCTGCCAAGTGCACTTGAAGTTGTGGGAAATGGCAGACGTGGCAGCAGCTGAAAAATTCAGTGCTCACTGCTTGTGCTGTTGCTGTCTTGTTCCTGCAGGTATGCCATTGGCCTTGCGTACAAGTCGGCCCCGAAGCACGAGTGGATTGGGAAGAACTCGGCTTCCTGGGCGCTGTGCCGCTGCCACAATAACTGGGTGGTGAGACACAACAGCAAGGAAATCCCCATCGAGCCTTCCCCTCACCTCCGGCGCGTGGGCATCCTGCTGGACTATGATAATGGCTCCGTCGCCTTCTACGACGCTTTGAACTCCGTCCACCTCTACACCTTCGACATCACGTTCTCGCAGCCCGTGTGCCCCACCTTCACCGTGTGGAACAAGTGTCTGACCATTATAACTGGGCTTCCCATCCCAGACCATCTGGACTGCACGGAGCAGCTGCCGTGAGCACCTGGCCGTGTGGCGGTGCTTTCTGGGAAGAGAAAGGCTGTGGCCACTATTCAGGGGGCAGAGAGAGCACAGGCTTCCAGAGTGTGGTGTTAAATCTCGCCAAAAAGAATCCAGAAATCAGCTAAGATAGGTTCCAAAACGGGCTAGTTCCAGCCCCCCCCCCCCACTGTGTTTTGTATTAAGTACAGTCTTTAATACTTTCTTCCAATTTTCTTTTGTATTTACAGGAAAATTTATAGATTATTTATAAAAGAAACATAACCGGGATTACAACTCTTTTAGGAATTATTTGGTTTTGCACATTAAGAGGCCCATACATTTATCAGCTCTTTACCTCCTTTATTTCATCACAGTCTATAACTGTGCATAACAGAAATGCAACTACTTTAAAAATAAAACATAGTTTTGAACCTAGTAGGGAAGTAAATGGGATTTCTTTGGTTTATCTTGAGGTGTTTTAACTGTGATGGTGGAAGCTTTTATTAGGTCAACTACAATGGAGAGCAAAAGAGAATGGGAAGAGTTGACCTTCGATCTTGGAATCTGCCATGGCTAAATCTTTAATTGCCTTCTGATGGCTGGTGGGATAATGATGAAAAGAAAGATTCTGAAACCTTTGGCCATAGTTTGCCCTGCTCTTCCCAGGATTAAGGATTCTGGGAGAACATTAAGAATGATACTGCAATTGAAAATAGTCACTTTGAATCCTGATGATTCAGAAACTCAAGCTGATTTGTGTTTTATCAGAAGTAGGATTCTCTTTCATGATATAAATCTATTTCATTCTTCCTTTTCATAGTTTCTTTAGGCCTGTGAAATTTCTTCACTACATTTAATAGCTGTCCTGTCCTTCCCACTCCCCAAATCATTTCTCTTTTGTCACTGGAGCTGAGGAAATAAACATTTCCTATCACAAATGGCAGCACCACTGTGCATTGATTTTTCTCTCCAGAACATCGACACATGGCCCCACTTGCCACTACCATGTCCAAATATAAGTCATCCCCCAAACACTATTTGTGAGTTGATAATGCCAAGGGACGTTGCATAAAGTACTATTTGCTAGTATACGTGCCTCCAACATTACTATAAACTGACCGTTATTAAACACAGCTTGAAAGTTGTAGAAGTCCCTCTGTATATTCTAGTATAGTTCACCATAGAGTTGTAAGACACACACAAAAAGTCAAATTTGCTATTCCCACACTGGAACCTGCCAATAGAATCTGCTAAGAGCCAAGCTGATCTGACAGCTTGGAATGGTCCATGAAGTAAGGTCCAGTCCTTGGACCTGGAACTTGGCAATGGTTCTTCCTTGGCCAAGGGCATGACACCTCTAAATCGTTTCATTTGCTAACATACTGATCCGGGCTACTCGGTCGGCCATCTTGCCTGAACAGACTGGTGGGTTTAGGCATTGTCTGTAGTGATATTGTTTTTAACCAAATCAATTGTTCCCCTGCACTCCATTCACAGACCCGCTGTTTCAGCATCACATCATGTGATTTCGAGTCTGGACTTCATGGTGGCTTCCCAGTGCCTCTGTCCTCTTCACTGGCAGATGCTCTCCTTTTTCTTAACAGATAGAGTCTATATATTTCCTATATTATTTATACCCAGATGAATATTTTGATAGCTACTTAGGACAATTTCACATCTAAAAGATGGACACCTCAAGGGGAAAAAAATCATTCTCTGGAAACTTAATAGGATTTTTTTTATAATATAAAACAATGTGTATGTGCTTTCCCAGAGTAAACTGAAAGTGTTGTCTTAGTAATTTTTACATACTGTTTTTAGTAGTTGGAGAACAGATATTTTAATGCACTTTGTACATTAACAGGTTTTAAATAAAAGGGTCTAAAACTCATGGTCCCCAGGTACCAATAAATGCTACAGTTTGCCTTATGATGCCAATGGAAAGCATTTACCAGAAGGATGATGTTTCCATGAACATGATGTTTTTCAATATTAAAGCAGTTCCTACTCAAATTTTCACTGCAAGCTGTTAGGTGATGTTTTGACTATTTTTATAAGGACCAGGAATTATGTTATAATTTCGTTGTGGAAGTCTCACTGTTTGCTAACTTAAAAACATTGTGGATAGTAGCAGTTACTATGTCCATGTTGTCATATTTACAAGAAAATATGTATATGGTGAAAGGCCACATTGTTTACTTTCATTGCTGTAATGATGTAGAAAAGATTGCCGTGTGGATTTTTTTTTTTGAAAGTCTGAAAAATATATGCTATATACACTTGCCGCAGTACAATTCTTTAAATGGATTGGGGTCACGGTGTTTGTTTTTGAGGTCCTTCCTTCGGAAGCATCGTCATCCAGGGGAGAAAGAGATGGCCGTGCCCATTAAATGAAAACAACAAAATGGATGGAGTGCCAGTCGAGGCTGCTAGGTCCGACATCACGCTTCTGTGAACAGTGCTGTCGCCATCTTGAGATTCTTACTACTTGTTGAACAAAAGCCTGCGTTTTCATGTGACACTGAGCCTCACAAATGACGACGCAGCCAGTCCTCATTAAAAAAACAACACAACACTCAGAAACGTGGCTACAAAGGAAGAAACCTGGATCCCATGTCAGAATGGCTGGCCATGTCATGCAAGTAGGAATCTCAATGGCTTCAGATGAGGAAGGGCCTGGCGGAAGATGTTCTTTCCAGCTTTTAAAGAAAAAGACTCCAAAAACTGACTGCAAATGTGAATGAGGGTTTCTGCTGGAGAAGAGGAAAAGGGCAGATGAGAAGCAGGCATTTGATGATGGTACTGGTGTGTTGACCCTGAACTCCCTGCGGAACCCAACTAGCGCCCTCCAGTGAACGGGAAATTCCATTTTGGCTCCAGGCACGTATGCATTGATTGCAGAGACACGCGTAGATGCTCATTTGCATGAGCTTTTGGTGTTGGGAAGTTGATCTATCTGGTCTACCCTTCTAAAATGTGAAAAAGAATACAAAGACAATAATGGGGGAGGGATGTGGTTTTCAGAAGAGTGCTTCTCCCCAAGGAGGCGATCTGTCAATGTCTGGAGTCATTTTGGGTTGTTCGAACTTGGGAGGGGTGCTACCGGCATCTCATGAGTAGAGACCAGGGATGCTCTCAACATCCTACAATGCACAGCGCAGCCCCCACCACAAAGAATTGTCCGGCCGAAAATATGAGTAGTGCCGTGCCTGAGAAACTCTTGTTCTTTGGGGATTTTTTAAAGCAAAACTCACAAATATTTTCTACTTTTCCTGTCATGGATTCCATGCCTGAGATAGCGAAAAGAGAAGAAAAGGGCACCCCGAGATCTTCCCTGCAGTGGTGCCTTCACTTTCAACATGATTTACAAAATCCCCACAAAATCTGCAAAGCAGTCCAAGCTCGTGTCAATGGGAATCCACTGATGAGGGTAATGAAGATCTGGCGCTGATGCGCTGAGTTCATAAATGGAAAGTCAGTTCTCTAGCCTGCTCCTGTCACCCGGACAAATTCAGGCCCTGGTACTAGTCACACTGCCAACCCTCACTCGGCCCAGACTATTCTCATCATTGCTGTTGCTTTCTGGTTCCAAATAAAGTCATTTTGTGGTTCCAAGGTTCTCTGTCTCTGCCTGTCTCTGTTGCCTTTTCTTCATTTTGTGTTTTCACATTCACGATTTCCACAAATATTTATCCAACTCCTGCTGTTCTTTTTGTACTACTTTGCAACATATAGTTGGTTTTTCTTTATGCCTGAAATTTGCTCACGTCTACCATCCCACCTCTCTTCAGTCAGAAAGACCCAAAACAGCACCCAGGGATTAAAAAACACACACACACAATAAAAGAGAACCTATATGGGAATTGAGACCTGGAACAAGAATAGCTTGCTTTTGAATCACAGGTGGAATGGAGTGGCGAGGGAGCACAAAGATGATTTGAGCAGAGGAGTGAGGGCTGGTACCATGGGGTCTGGAACAATCCCAGCAGTTGGTCCATAAATCTCTCCTCAGCCCCATCCCCCGGCTCACAGGACTTGACTTTCTCTCTCATTAGAGATGCAGGCCCTTTTGATCTAAGTCAGTGCTGTGCAGTGTGGTCATGGGTCTGCGGCATTAGCACCACTGGGATCTTGTTGGAAAAGCCAGTTCTGCAGCCCAAGCCCAGGTCTACCATCAGAACCTCAGGGGGCAGGACCCAGCAAGGTGAGCTCTAACAAGCCCTCCAGGGGATTCTCATACTAGCAACATTTTGAGAAGCGCTGCTCTGGAGGGTTTTATCCAGCCTCGTATCCCATATAAAAATGCACTTGGATCCTGAAATGTGTTTTCAAGGTAATGTGCTTTAGAAGCAGCTCGATGTAAAGCAGTGATGCTTAACTGCCTGAGCATTAAAACCATTTTTTTACAAATGCTGATTCCTAGATCCCATCCTGAAAGATTGGGGATAAAGTCTAAAGCAGTGGTTCTCAACCTTCTGGCCCTTTAAATACAGTTCCTCATGTTGTGACCCAACCATAAAATTCTTTTCATTGCTACTTCCTATCTGTAATGTTGCTACTGTTATGAATTGTCATGTAAATATCTGATATGCAGGCTGGTCTTAGACGACCCCTGTGAAAGGGTCCTTCGCCCGCCAAAGGGGTCGCGACCCACAGTTTGAGAACCGCTGGTCTAGAGTGTGGCCTAGCACCCTGTACTTTTTGGGGGAAGTGATTCTAAAGTGCCCCCAGGATTGGCAGCCAATGCTATAGTCACAGGGCTCATCACCTTTTCTATAAAGGTCAGGCTGTAAGTATTTTAGGGTTTGAAGGCCATGCTATCTCTGTGGCAACTACTCAACTCTCCAACTATAGAGCGAAAGCCACCATAGAGGGAATGTAAATGAATGGGTGAGGCTGTGTTCCCGTGAAACTTTACAAACAGCCATGAGGCTGCATTTGGCTCATGCTGTACTTCACCAACTCCTGCTGCAGCAGATACAACACTGGACTGGCAGCACGAAGCCCTCAGCACATGCTCTAACTTTTTCCTCACCCACTGACCACTCAGCCATGTCCCCTCATAGCCTCAGTGAGCTCTCAAGTCCTTTCCAACTTTGAACCACATCAATTCTGAAATCACAGAACTCATGTAGAATTACAGGGCCACTAAGGGTTATTAGATGATTCTTTTATTCAACAGAGTAGGGTGTGCCAGTTCTAATGATTAGCTTTGCCACCTTCAGAATTTTGACTTAAATCAGCCTTCCTCATAAGTGACAGGTGTATAAAATATATTCCCTTTACTAAGAGTTTTGAAGTACATTTAATTTGAACTTTGAAACTGAACAGACACTGCTATAATTAATCACCTTTCAAGTCAACTTGAAGGGCATGTTATACACTCCAGAGAGTAGCCTTCCCTCTTCTTAAAATCATTTAAAAAATATGTTGAAGTACGTAGTTGCTTGTGATTATAGTGGGAGCATAAAAAGGGAGACACGTGGAACTTGCCAAATCCTTTTCCCATGAGTATCATTCTTACTGTGGGATTCACAATCAAGAATGTAGTCATCCTGTCTTAAGGAATTCAAGTCTTTCTTTGGATCTTTTTCAGCCATGTTCTAAGACAGTGATGGTGAACCTATGACACGCGTGTCAGAGGTGACACGCAAACTCATTTTTGGGGCTGATTTTTCTTTGTTAAATGGCATTTAAATATATAAAATAAATATCAAAAATATAAGTCTTTGTTTTACTATGGTTGCAAATATCAAAAAATTTCTATATGTGACACGGCACCAGAGTTAAGTTAGGGTTTTTCAAAATGCTGAGACGCCGAGCTCAAAAGGTTCGCCATCACTGTTCTAAGAGAATTATAAAAGTATCAAATAGGTAGTATAGTAATTAACAAGCAAATATGTCATGACTGAAAACCAGTCACCAATTAAGGAGAGACACAGAAAATGATTTAATGAACATTGATTCTTTTGCATGGTCTACTTATTCCCAAAGCTCAATTTTTTTATTATGTTCATTCAAAGCTGTTCAGTTTCAGCCAAATATTTCAGATAATAAAGCTTGTCTCACCCCTTCCCTAAACGTATTCTCCCTTCAGCATCTGCCCTCTCCCACCTCTTCTTTTCCGTCAAGTTTCTCAGAAGGTTGTTCAGATGTTCTGCTTCTGTTTCCTCAGCTCCCATTATACCTCCATACCTTCCCACACTCCATCAGGCTTCTGTGTCTTTACTCAAACAGTGCTCACTGATGTGAAAAGTAGTGTCTGCATTAGTACATATTCACATCACTGTTTGGCCTCATCTTGACATACAGCAGCTTTGGGGATGTAGACCACTTCAGTTTTTTCCTAATCTCTTCTTAGGCAATGCCATCTCCTCCTCCACCATTTTGTGCAGATGCTACCAAATTTAAATGTCTACATCTAATTTCTCTGCTGAGATCAGCCCCATATACTGACCTCTAGGATACCTAAGTGGCACCTCAAATTTGACATGTCCAAAACTGCACTAATGATCTCTCCCCAGAACCTTGCCTTATCCAACCAGTTTTATGAGTCAAAACCCAGAAATTCATGTTTCATGTCTTCCTTGCCCTCCATGCCCATTGATCACCAAGTCCTGCTGATTTTCATTGTTTTTATTATTGACTTAGAGAGGGAGAGAAACATCGATGTGAAAGGGTCACATCCATCGACTGCTCTTGCACACCCCGCACTGGGGATTGAGTCTGAAACCTGGGTATGTGCCCTGACCGGGAATCAAACTGGTGACTTCTCAGTGCATGGGACAACGCTCTTTAACTGATTCACACCTCTCCACATCTACACACAACCTCCAAGTTCAAGGTTTCACACCTCTGCCTCCACAGCTGACATAACCAGCTAACTGAAGTTGAACTTATATAATTGTCACTTGCTGGCTCAGCTCATCCCACATGACACACAATCCAGGTGCCAATAAAATGAGCTCTAGGGTATCACTGTCCATTTGGCCTTGGAGAAGATCCCCTCTGCCTTTGGTGCCCCACCTCCTTGATAGTTCCACCCAATTTCCCAGAAACAGATTCCCTGTTCTTCAAGACAGTATCACAGAGTCCCAGCCTCTGTTCTCATTTCTTCTCTGTAGCTGGATTCTGTCCTTAAACTCCCCCTGACATGATCTTCAGCATATACTGTGAACTTCCTAGGCGGCAGCAGCCCTCCACTTGGAATTTTACCCAATGCCTATGTTTCCAGCTTGCTCAACTTGACCTTAAGTCATCAACTGGGTTTGTTGCCATGCTT